AATTTCTGCCTTGATTTGATCTCGATCTGTTAAATGATGCACATGCCTGTTCAATTTTAGGAATTTACAATTGCTATATCATGGTTAGTGGTTTTTGTAGTTCTCATTATGGTTATTACTGTTGTTACCACGTCATTATTTTATCTTTTTTTAACGGTTCTTTATTGTACTTTATTGTACTGTTTCCCGCTATTATACTATATTTTGATTATTTCATATAACTATATTTAAAAGTGCAGCTGCTGTTTAAATGCACTGGTCATTTTTGTCTTTGTAAAGCACTTGGAGCTTCATTGTGTGAAGTGGTTATTGATTTCAATAGTCATTCATCAAGTGAAAATAAATATTGAAGTCAGCCTCTCTAATTATACTGTTTGCTTGTTTTGCTTCATTTCATACCAGCTGTGAATGCTTCACAGGAAACAAATTTGTATTAAAGCTGTTTAAAAACTGATATCATTTTGTGTAATAGCAAACAATTGTAACAATCGTAAATAAAATACAAAATTGATGTATTGGGAAAAAACAATATGTCTAAGAATACAATAATATTTAATTATCACTAATAATTATGTGTTAAATAAATATATGAATGAATAATTTAACAAATAAATATAATTAAGAGTTTTTTCTTCTGTGAATTGGTCATTTTTACACAAATGAAATTCAACAAAATCAGTCGAATACATTTCAGATGTAGACTGTTGTATAATTTCATGAAAATAACTTTTCCAAAAAAGACATACCTACATCGGCCCAGTTATGAAAGAAAGCCTCACAGACTGAACGTAAATACTTTGTTTCCACTTACCATATCTGCTGCAGTGAGAACAGCCGGTCCAGTCGCAGCATGTGTGTGTGGTTCAGACCAATGTTCCAGGCTGCTTATATCCCCCATCAGCAGCCGCAGCAGCAGCAACAGGTTCGATCCTGCTCCCTGTGAGGCCTGGCAGGACTCCTGTTTACTAGAGGCTAAAAAAACAGCACAAAAACACAGGCTGACGTCACAACCGTGATCTGCAGTGAGGAACATCAATAGTATGCACCCGCTGTGTGGTTCCTACAAGTGGTGGGCTTTGTGTTTGTGTGTGTGATGTTGTCCCAGTGAGTAACAGAGGTATTTCATGTTGCTGCTGTTTTTATTAATTGGGGTTTCAGTGTCAGGAAATGACCTTGATTCTGAAAGCTATCTTTACAACAGCCTAAGTCCTGCCTTCATCATCCATTCACATATATTTTAATAAACTGCATTAGGTGCATGCATATGACTATAAATAGATATGAAGCAAAAGTCCACATGGCTGGATAAACCTGTTAGTGGACCTGGGACAGAAATTTGCTGCTGGGCACCTACTTATAACCATGACAAACAGAACATCAACATCAGGCTGGAATTAAATGCTTGGCACTGGAGAGAGCAACGCAACACACACAATCCACTTCTGGTGAGACGCAGGACGAGCCAGGCCCGGAGACAGATTCGGACCCTGGCATGGCACAGGAACAGGGGGAGAGAGAGAACCAGGAAGCAGACTGCCTTCATAGCTAACCCGTTTAGGTTCCTGAAAGAGCTGGAGTCGCCTTGCATGCTCAAAAGAAGTGATTGACCACTTCCTTCGCTACACCCTTAGTGATCTAAGCAGAGAGCAAGAGCCGGGGCCCCACAGAGCCCTTGCAAACCCTCCACCTTAGACATGAGAGAGCCCACCTGGTAGGACTTCCAGGAGGTAGTCAGAGCCAGCTAACACCCAGGGGAGTACCCTAGCCGCAGAGGAAATGCAGTAAATATGGGACTTTGGGAGTCCACTGCATGCTCTGAATTGATTACAGTGTAATAACACTGACTGTTTCTCACGAAATGACGGCACATTCTTTCTTAGTAGTCTAATCTATAATACAGTTTACATCCAATATCATACACTATCATCTATATATATATATATAGATGTACACAGTATTGTACCATACCCCTTAAATTTGAATTGTAATCAGTTGTAGAAGCAATAATGTGCCTTTTGTGCATCTTTGAGTCGTATAAATTTGACTACATTTAGACCAAAACAGCATAGAAAAGGGATTCTTTGTTTTGCCAAAAGACCTTTCTCCCAAGCAGTGTGGAGAATCTTTAAAAACAGCATTACACCTTCATGTTAGGAAATACAATATAACAGAACTGTTTACAAAAGGAATAACATATCTAAATAATGAAAATAAATAACATTCTCTTTGAAGAAGGGGGACTTAGAATCATGACCTTAGTATTTCTAAAACTCAGCCCTGTGGTCTAACACAATCAGACTATATTTAATCTCTCAGGATGTGTGTTCATGACACACGTAGCGGTTCCTACTATTCATCCCACATCTGCTCCATGAAAGAACCACCTCAAATATTCTCAAAGATTCTCTACTTCAAGTATCTTTAATGCCAGAAGCCAGTGAAACAGCAGATGTCAAAAGGTATTACTTTTATTATGGAACCAGTTCAGCCTATACATGAATTATTCTCAAGGCTGAGCTAAAAGGAAATAAATAAATACACTTTAAAAATCTAACAACAAAACTGAATACAGTAGAAAATGTATTTTAAATTAGTTAGTTTGAACATTTCTTACATTCATTTGTATATATAGATTAGACAACTCATTTTCTTGTTATGTCTAAAAGACTGAAATATGCTACAGAAGGCAGTCACCTTGAACAATCTTTGAAATATTTATGGTACAAACACTGGAACTGCCTCTGAATGTTGAATGCTCACCAGATTTAAATCAGAACCAGAACACTAACTCTGAAGAAATCATACAGACCCCAAACAGCAAGAAAAGAAAAAAAAACACCTCTGTGCGGCTGTTTATAAATGTTTGTCTGGTATTAACAATAAAACTAAAATATTGGAAATTCACTCCACTCAGGAGCACAATCCTATGAACCTAAGCTCAGTGTAATTCTGTCAGTATGTGTTGTACTTGAACATGGCCATGACAATCTGTGTGAGACAGTGTCCGAACTCGTCCAGGACCATGTGCTCAGCCTGGGCGCGGCTCTGGGCCTCTCTCTCAGCCCCCTCAGCCTGAGCCAGCAGACAGCCACACACAGCCTCCACCACAGCAGGGGTTATCACTGATACAGGCCATCTGAACACAAATACAGACACACATTAACGTGATGGCTAAGGCCCTTCCTCTGGTGCATGTTAAAACATATCCAACGAAGGTTGAGGTCCAGGGCAACTGGACTTGGTTGAAGATGCTAGAAGACGGTCGTTCAGACTTGGCCACGGGTGGCTCTAACGACCATGACGACTGTCGTTACCACAGCCAGGAGCACTGACGAACCAGCGGTATTGACGATCCGAGCTAATGATCCCAGAGGTTAAATAGCTGAGTTTCCCTGAGTTTCCTGAAGAAGTCTCTTGGATGACGGACAAAACGTCTTCTAGTTTTTTCTTCTACAAAGTCCAGTTGCCCTTGACCTCAACCTTTGTTGGATAACTATGACCTGAATGACTGAGAACCTTCACAGACATGTTAAACATGACCATTAAATGGCAACTCTATTACGTTTTTCTTCATTCAAAGTTAGATTCACCACACTCTAACTAGACACACTTGTTGTAAACTTTGATGCCCCTAAATTGCTAAATATACTTTACAACACAGAGGCTGCTGCTATTAGAGACCAGGAGTTGTTACTGTAACAGATTTAGCAGTGCAGAAAGTGGGCCATACTGTGACAGAGATAAAGAAAGGGTGGATATGAAGTTAGAAGAAAATATCTACTTGCTAATGTAAAACATCTCCATAAGAAAACAAGACTAGGTGCCAAGCCAGTATATGGCTGGAGCGTGTGTGGTGAATGTGCTCCTGGGGATGTAATTGAGGACAGTGCCTCGCTGTAAAGCTTTGTTTCTGCTCAGTGCAGTGTTCCCATTGCGAGGGTGTGCACGCCTAAAGTGACATCAGCAGAATCAAATTGTTTACAGGAGTGGCTTCATTAGAATACATTTGTTTTTACAAATACTTGACTTGTTACTTTACAGGCATTGTATAAGGGGGATAACGTATGTCCATAAAAAAATCCAATACATTTTTCCCCTGCATAGCAGCCATGTAATTGGTTCTTGCTTCTTCACAGAATGTTTGTCTGTACGCCCCTTGGAGTTTTGGAGAATACAATCCAATTCAATTTTATTTATATGGCAGCAATTCATTATTTCTATTTTCACACACAGTTTATGGAACCTGTAAATTAATTTCATACAGTTGAATTTGGTTACTATTAAATATTATACAATAATAATCCTATAGTTATTTTTGAATTCACTGTACTTTAACTGTAACACTGAAACCTGCCAAAATGACAACATGGCAACAGTGTTCCAAAAAATTCAAACCAATTAATTTACAGTCTACAGAGAACGTGATGCTAAAGCAAAGAAATGTGGCTTGTTCCAAAAACGGCATTGATGAGTGAGTTTGTAATGAGAGGAGAGTGACAGAAGTAACATCTCAGAGTTTGTAATTTACATTTCTTAACAATTCCTTTGGAACTGGAATTTTGGAACTGGTTCTAATTTGGAACTAGTATTACAGAAAGATTAAGTTAAGATTTTTCCCAATTTGGTATTACAGAAGCAAATCCTAACTAACTTTAGGAATCCTATCTTATCTTATCATAATTCTATTTTATCTCAGGTTAAAAATCCTAAATACTCAATCCAACACTAACCAGTTTTTGTCTGTTACCTAGCAACCGATGGCACTTTTCTCACTTTTCTCATCTTGCCGAGCTAAACAGCTTCTAACCTTTTTTAATGGTAGTTTTTTTATTAAACATACTGTACATTGAAAAATAAAGCTGAAACAACTGAAATTTATTTGGCCCCAGTTCTTGATGCCCAGCCCTACTCTTGATTCACAGATTCACTCATATGGTTTATGCATGAGTCCCACTGTTTCTACTTCCCACATGGCAGCAGGTTTATCTTCAGTGATATGGTTTAGTAATCTGCCACTGTGTCACTGACGCAGCTGTGACATAATATGATGTACTGTGTCAAACTTGACTGACTCACTTGTCCTTGACATTGACAGTCTTCTCTTTGAGGCCTGTTTCTGAGCCGTCATCGTAGTTTCTACAGCCAACACATTTACAGCTGGAGGTACACATGATGTTGGCCTGCACACAGACAACAGTATAACTCACATTTCAAAAGAAATACAATTAGCCAAATATCTTGTTTGACCTTACACTGACAAAAGTGTGTGAAAATGACTGCAATGAATAAAACTGTTTTATATTTGCAGTAACTAAACACCAGCATACAGAAAATAGAAAAGAAACAGATATGCTAAAGAAAATCTGTCTATATGCTTCCATATTAATCCATTTGTATTTAACCTTACAGTAATTCCTGCTGGGCAAAAAAGTGGTAATTACCAAACTAAGTACAGAAGCCTGAGAGACCGTCAGTCAAGACAAACAGGAGGAGGTCATTTTGTTCTTAGTACGAGAAGTTTCCGCTTAGTTGGAGCCAGCATCTGGGAGCTATTACAAGATGTGCAGTATAAGGCCACATTCAAATTCACAACAACATTGCTCAAAATATGCATCCTCCTCATTTATTTCAAAGTCGTCCAAAAGATCATGGCAGACTCAAGTCAAGCTGATCATGGCTCAACCTTTGCTGCAGTGCGGTGTATTACACTGTGTTAGCCAATCAAACTGCAAGCAAGAATTCACAAAATACTGTCTCCAGTGTATATAAAGCACTGTTTCTTTGTAATAAGCCCTGAGCATGGACTTCCAGGTTTGTATTTCAAGCTCTTACCAACACACCCACTCCAATGCAGTGTGTTGCCAGTGGGCTGATGTCTGTCTGAAGGTGCCCTAACTTACTTCTACAACAGCTTCTGCACTCAGCTCTTGTAGTTACCACTTGGTTTCCTTATGATTTCTATAACAGCTTATTAAATCTGGGTCACTTTGTGTGTGTGTGTGTGTGTGTGTGTGTGTGTGTGTGTCTGTCTGTCTGTCTGTCTGTAAACCTCATAGCACTCGCAGTAGTTCTTAAGGCAGCCGGAGCGTTTACAGTTGCAGCCTTTGTTGTGCCAACCTTTGACCTCTCTTGACTTCCCACCAGCAATCTTAGACCTGAAGGCATCTGGGTTCCGACCTAAACATGACTACATAATGACAACACTAGTAATGATTACATCAAGAAGGACAGGGAAATTATTATTAAACTGTTAACATTCCATAACCGATGATATACATATACTACTTTTCCTGTTGTTCTACTGAAATGCTTTCAGTAGGTATTGGAAGACGTGACACAGCTGTGACACTCAGCCACGTCCAATGAACATTTTGGGTTAGAAATCATACAACTCTCAACATTTGTGGTTTTATTAGCCTTTACTGTCCTAACTCTAAACACTACCACTACCACTGCACAGAGCATCCTTATAATAGTGCACATGCACTGACTGTACATGCAGCCTGTTGCAGTTGCTCCTGCTCATTTCTTCATTATCTTACTTGTTCAATTTTTTACAAAAGAAAATGACCCAAATTCAAAAGTAATCAAAGTCACAAGTGTTCCTTTGACTATGAAGACATACTAAAAGTAATTAAACACATATGCATATGCTGAGCTAAATAAGAGGAACACATATTCAAAATGAAACAAGCAAATTCTTAATGATGCTCATAATGTTCTGTTTACAGTGAGACTGGGACAAAGAGGTGTAGAACTTTGTTCTGGTGACTGGGCTCACTCTTAATCTGAGGTGCTAAGATATTTTTAGCGAGCTGCTCCTTTTCATATTTATAGGGGCCGGTCGAGATGGTAAAACATCAAGATATCTTTTAGATGCCACGCTGTGAAGGTGTTCCAGACACAGACTCTGTCTGTTGTCAGGTTACACCCCAGCAAATGTGTTTTTTTTTAATTATCAATCATCAAAAGGGGCTATGTAGTTTTAAAAGTAGTAAAATAAATCACTTTTTATTGCCTGTGTGTGCAGGGGTTGTAACATGACATAAAACCATCCACTTGCTCCCGAGCCTCTTGCCTACTTTATATTCTACACCTTACACACAGCAACGTTACAGCTAATGAGATGGAGTCCGCTAAAATATCATGCTCAACACTGACTCCACGTAAGGATAAAAACCAATCAGACGGCTGTCAGGTGAAAACACAGCTTCATCGGCTCAGTCGCTGTAACTTATGTGACCCACATATTCTACAATAATGCAACATAACGGCGCCGGACAGCAACACAGCAGAAGACCCATTCACTACAGTAATGTTACTGCGGCCTAACTGTTAAAAAGTGTGGCAACAATCTCAAGAGATTATTCAGTCTCGCTCACTAACTGTTTCGTTATAATCCAATACATTTAGCTGTGCTCACACGGTTGAGCCTCCGGTGAAAGACACACAAATAGTTATTAAAAAGCAGCAAGCGAGCTAACGCTGACATAACACGTCAGCTAAATGGAGTCAATGTAACATTGTCATGTAACGAGCATGGATTAGTTCAATCTCATGCTGATAAAAATTACTTTAACGTTGCAGTGGAAATTGACCTGAGCTGTCTCCCTGTGTTTCGGTCTGTGTGTGTCGGATTCTGCTCGCTTATGAGTTCGAGCACACTTACGAATACAAGCACACACCTGCTTGCAATTTTAAAAAATGCACTGCTAGTGACTGCTGAAAACAACACATTGCCCCTTTAATACGGGCGAAACATCACTGAGGTTAGCAAAATAGCCTTGCTAGCATCAGAGCCTTTTTGTTTTTATGTCAACACATGAATCATATTCATGCTACTTTACTTTATCCGCTCAACATCCACGACCCCCCTGAGGGGGCTCTAAGCCCCCCAGTGGGCCCCGCTCTTCAGTTTGAGAACCACTGGAATAGATTAAAATTGGAGTGACAGTTGTGTTTGTCATGTGGTGGTTATGGCTAAGCCTGTATTAAGTTATTGTAAGTCAATACACTGTCCTTACAAATGACAAAAGTGTATGTTTGAGACAAACATCAGAGAGTGAGAGACAACATGTCCCCCCAGTTTTCCAGTAACAGCAGTAACAGGCTGATGAATCAGATACCCATCACCTGAGCTGGAGCACCAATTAGACACAATCAATGCAGTCACCCCTACTCACATCTTACTGTCTACAGCAGCTCAAACACCAGCAGCCAGCAACAGTCGATGTGTTTCAGCTCTTACTGACTGATTGGCAGTCAGCTCACACAGCAGTCAACCATCCTGTACCATCCCACAGCTGGATGGTGACACTATCAGCTCACTGCTTGCACACTGTAATCAATATAATGTATTTTTTTCTTTTTCTTTTTCACTTCTTTATATGTCACGGTGGCTGCCGCTTAGAGGTAGAGCGGGTCGTACACTAATCAGAAGGTCTGGATGTCCAGATGGGCAAGATACTGAACCCCAAATTGCTCCCGGAGGCGGTGCCATCGGTGTGTGTGTGTGAATATTAAATGTAGTGTAAAGTGCTTTGATTGACTAGAAAGGAGCGATACAAGTACAGACCATTTACCATATCTAGTACTTACTGTTGATTGACCATTCAGATAATTTCTGCCGGTGAGTCATTTATTCATTTATTCACTGTGTACATTGAGTTGAATGGGGTCTCAGTCTGCCATTTTCCAATTTTATGATTGGTCATCTTATATATCAGTGTTTTCTGCTTTCCATTAGTCATTAGTGGCTTCATTTATTCTTTGTAAATATTTCCAGACATGTTAAAGACTCACTGTGAAGCACTTCATTAAACTGCCATACAGATACATGTGTTTGTGTATTTGTGATGTGAACATGATTACCACAAGCATCACAAACCTTAATTGCCTTGTGACGCTTCATTTCATGCTCCGCATTGTTGTGGCAGTTAGAGCAGTCACAGTTGCTGCACATCACTCCATTGGCAAAACACTCACAGTAGCTGAAAGAGACAAACACACAAAAGCACAGACAGGGGCTCAGCTGCAGGTCATCTGATATCAGAATCAGAATCAGCTTTATTGCCAGGTATGTGTACACATACGAGGAATTTGACTCAGGATTGTACATTGCTCACAATGTGCTTACTTATACAATAATACAATAACACAATAATAAACTACAGTATAGACAACACTAATATACACTCTATGAACAAAACAATACAGACATATTGACAAATAGTGCAGTAATCAGAGTGCAAAGGATGCAAGAGTAAACTATTCTCATTATGTACATGTTGAAGGTGGATATTATATACAGATACACATACACATACATGTACACATGCACACAGTGTGATGGAGCATAGTGCAAAGGATGCTGGAAAAAATAAATAAGACCTATGACCTTCTGACCTGAGGTAGGTGTATTGGTATACAGTATATACAATATGACATAGTATATTGAAGAATTTGTAGTATGTATAAATATTGTTGTGTATGGGTAATATCTGTATGTGAATAGAACTTTTGAATATATATTTTCATTGATTAGATTTATTATCTATTTAGAGTTAAGTAGTAAGGTAGTAAGGCTATAAAGGGGTAGGAGTACATAAGTTTTACTTTTTTTACTCCTTTTTGCACATGTAAATTGAGGTTTTTAAGTACTGGAAAGTATGGAGTTTTTTTTTTTTTTTTACCACCATTTTTTGTTTAATTGATTATTTTTATTTACATGTTCAAAATAAAGATATCAAATCAAATCAAATAGTATGAACAGTACTGAAATAGAGAATGGTGAATAAATAAATAATAAGTGGAAACCAGTAAACAGGTGCTGATTAGAGGCAGAGTTACTGGGTTATTGCACAGGAATTGTTCCTGACACTGTGAGTCAGAAATCAGCTGTTCATCAGAGTGATGGCTTGTGGGAAGAAACTGCTTCTGTGTCTGTTGGTTTTGGCGTACAGTGCTCTGTAGCGCCAACCAGAGGGGAGGAGCTGGAACAGGTTATGTCTGGGGTGAGATGGATCTGCAGTGATGTTTGTCCTGACTCTGGAAATGTATAAGTCCTGAATGGAGGGCAGGTTGGCACCGATTATTTTTTCTGCAGTCCTGACTGTCCGTTGTAGTCTGCTCCTGTCTTTTTGGTGGCAGATCTAAACCAGACAGTGATGGAGGTGCCAGACTGGATGATGGCTGTGTAGAACTGGATCAGCAGGTCCTTAGGCAGGTTGAGCTTCCTGAGCTGACGCAGGAAGTACATCCTCTGCTGGGCCTTCTTGATGGTGGCAGTGTTGGGCTCCCACTTCAGGTCCTGGGATATGGTGGAACCCAGAAACCTAAAGGATTCGACAGCAGACACAGGGCTGTTGAGTATGGTGATGGGGGGCAGAGTGGGGGGGCTCCTCCTGAAGTCCACGGTCATCTCCACAGTTTTGAGTGTGTTAAGCTCCAGGTTGTTCTGACCGCACCAGAGAGCCAGCTGTCTGCTTCAGCGTGTCTACCAGTTGTTGAGTACCAGCAGTGTTGGGGGATGGTCTCTTGTAGTTTGTGAGTGTCCGTAGGCTTCTCCACAACAACGCAGTGTCATTGGCTGCAAAGCTGTTATTTAGCTTTTCAGCGTAGCATCTCTTTGCAGCTTTGACCTCTGTAATCACTGTGTTTCTGGCCTGGTTGTACAAGAATCTGTCCCCACTTCTGAAGGCCTCTTCCTTGGTCTGACAAAGCTGCCCGAGGCGGCCGTCTGCAGCGCCATCTTGCAACACATTCTCACTCCCAACTGTCATATACTGACGCTTGGTCAAGAATCTTTGGAGTCACTTCCTAACGCCATGAGTAGCGGTTTTCTTAGGGCTCCGCGGTCAAGTTAGCAACAAATATGCAACATCTGGTAAAGTTAGCAACAATAAATATGCAATATACTTTAAAAATAAAACGCTAGCACTGCGAAACATTGCCATTTTGAAATGGCACGTTATAAGTTGTGAAACGTTGAAATTTGGTTAGGTCTAGGCACAAAAAGTACTTTACCGTCACAAACTGACACTACAGGGCTTCCCCCACTGCGTTGAACTATGATGCTAAAGGGATCCCCAATGTGTTACATACTGACGCCGATGGGTCTTGACCATGTCCATATGTTCATATGTGACAAGTTGGGTAGTGACAACGGATTGAATTTGCACAAAGTGCAGTTATGCATGTCTGGACAAGTGTTTTCTGAAGAGAAAACACTTTCGGACATGCAACCGTGCACTCATGCCGTAGGATATACATACAATGTGAGGATTATTAAATATCCTGATCATTTGAGCTAAACAAAAAGATCAGTGGAGCTGGTTACACTTTTAAACTTCTTGTAATTTGTGTTTCTCTCTCTCTTGCTGTCTATCTCATTGTTTGGCTCCGGCTATGGTCTCTCATCTTCTGGGCGTCCAATAAAACAGTGGGACAGATTGACAAGCTGTTTTCCTCAGATGTTAAATACCAGACACATTTTATTCTGCTGCAGTGGTCAGTCTGCTGTATGTAAATAAGGTACAGCAGCTATTTGTCCCATATTTAGCACCTCTGAGCAGGGTCACCTTAAAATGCATACTGCATTCGACCGAACATGCAGTTATCAGTAGTGCTACTTTATTATGGTTATTTTAAAAGCGCAAAACCTTGGTGCAGTCAATAAACAATAACAAAGGCATTTTGACTGTTAAGTGGATAAAAAGGGCTCAAAATCTTTAGTAAATATCCCTCAGAGTTGGCAGTCTGTAGTAAAATGTTTTATGGTCATATTTTGGGCCCTGTGTCCACCAAAGCATTTTTTACCAGCTGAAAACGCCACCTGCTCTTTTGAAAATGCCCAGCAGGGTGCACTAGCGGGCGTTTTTGAGGCGCAGCGTTTTTTCCTCCTGCTTTGTTTGCTATGACACATAACCTACCTAACTTTACTGGATGTAAAAATGGCAACACAAGCAGAGTACTTGCTCTGTATGAGAGAAGGCTGAAGCAGGTAGAGAGAGAGAGTCGCCGAGTTCCACCGTTTGGTCCAAGAGGACGATGCCCGGTTCCAGGATAGTAACCGTTGCTGCGGTTCTGCTATTTGTCCCGCCCCTCCTCTACTGTGATTGGACGTCTGGGTAAAAAGTGACAGTGACGAGCGCAGCGTTTTTCCCAAAGTTTCAACTCTCGGTGACCACAAAAAAATGTGATGATGATGAGCATGATGTCTCAGAAGGAGGTTGACACTATATCCTGCTATAAAAAAAACACAAAATGAAAGTAGTAATAAGATCGGCTACTCACAGTTTGAGGCACTGGGATCTGGTGCAGTGGCAGGGTTTCCTGGACTTCGATTCACAAGTTCCAACAGTTCTACAAGGAATCAGAATCAGGTTTATGGCCAACTAGATTTTCACATACAAGGAATTTGCCTTGGTCTTTTGGTGTATAACAACATCAAACATAGTAAGTAGAAGATATAAAAAAAAGTAAAGTAAGCAAAATAAGTACTGCAAGTCATAAACAGAAAATAATAATACAATTTGAAATATTTATTTAAAAATATTTATTTTTCTATATTTTTCTAAATATTTAGTTTCTTATAAAATGGCTGTACAGTTTTGTGAAGTGTAAAATAGTGACCATGGAATGTACAAAAGAATTGTAAAGAATATAGGCAATATACAGAGATCATAATCCAAAAGATGTGTGTTGATGCAACGCACTGAGGCAGTGTGTAGGGATGGTAATGATTCATGGTTAATCGATTAATCGCTGTTAAAGAGGTGGTATTCTGCTCATTTTCAGGTTCAAACTCTTCTTTAGGGGTTGTACCAGAACAGGTTTACATGGTTTCATTTTCAAAAAACACCATATTTTTGTCATACTGCCCATTGCTGCAGCTCCTCTTTTCATTCTGTCTATTGAACGCTTTGTTTTAGCTATGGAGTGATGCATCTTGTCTCTAAATGATCTTTGTTGGGAGTTGCATATGCGCAGTTCCTAGTTAAGCACTACTAGCCAATCAGAAGCAGAGAAAGGCGGGTCAGCGAGAAGCCGGTAAACACGGGTTCGTTTCAGCTGTAGGCTACATGTTGCCGACCAGGTTGGCAACATGGACTGGAGCAAGAGTTTCAGAGTGGTGAGTTAATAATCTGTAACAAAAGTATCTTTCATCCATGAAGTTTTAACTGAGCTCTGTCTCTACATCACAGGAACAACTTTATGTCCACTGACTGCCTGGAGGGTAGCTAGTGTTTGGTAGGGAGAGGAGAGCTGTGGTGCAGCTCACTGTTTTTCCCCCGGTGTTTTGAGGGCGTGTTGGAGTAGCCGCTTGGCGAGCTCAGAGCAGAGCTTTCTGTGGGAGATGGGAACTCCCTTTGGGCTGGACTTTGGGCTTTTTCAATTTCCAAACCTAGTACATGCACAAAAAAGATATATAACTCAATAAAGGAGGGAAAAAGCCAAAAACCACCTCTTTAAGAAGTTAACTGATTAAAATTACAACCGAAAATGTACATTTGTGTACCATTTCTGCTGTGGGAAATGGGGCAAGATGAAGAGGGCAAAACACTGTACACTGTAAAAGAGGACAAGGCTCAATGTAAATACTGCAACACCATTTTAAAATACAGATCCAGTACAACGTCAGTGTTGCACCACCTGAAAGGTCAGCACCCAACCGTTTCAGTGCAAGTTGAGAGTGGAAAAGAGTCAGTGTTAGCTATAAGAGGCTGTAGTGATGCGTACAGAGGCAAAAACTCAGAGGCTTTCCTTTATGGTGGAAAAGGACATGATGCTTATAAACGTGGTGGACGCTGAGGTCTGACAACACTGAACCAGGCTATCACATCGCTAGCTGCATGGAGAAGCAGTAACTTACAACAAATAGACAAGCTTAAGGTGCAGTTACAATGTGGCTATAACGACTGACTGTTGGACTGCGATAACAGCAGAGACATTACGTTACATTGCATGTTCAGTTGCATCAGTAGCTGTCCTGCTATCAGAGGCCCTAACAGTCAGACACAGCAGATAGCCTGCTGAAAACTTGAAAGAGGCCATGGGGGCTGGTTGGCCTAGATGGCTCCGAATTTGAGACGAATATGCACACTGATAGCCAGGTCTTGGTAGATATACAGTAGGTCTTTGCACTAGACGCCCTGCACAGTGAAAAAGGCAGTAGACGTCGTGGCCCCCACCAGACTGCCTCTCTGGACCTCCACGCCGGCTACCGTGTGGTGCACAAAGGTGCAACAAACAAGGTTGGCGAGGAGGCTGCCCTGCAGTAGCATCTTACTTGCTGTTGACGCCATCCGTTGACCATGGTTGTGGTTCTTCCGCATACCATGGTTTGCACCATTGACTCAAACTAGAGAGTTCCTCGCTGCTCACACCAACCGGCACCCTGCTGCCAGTGCCTCAGACACCCTAATCCCCTTGAGGGGGTCTGCTCGGTTTTATGGAGCCGACCATGCACTCGCCAGTTACAGAGTAGGTACTCACGGCTTCTTGTGCGCATTTTATAGGTGTTAGCTGGGTGTAGCCTACCCCATGCACAGCCTCCCCACTCTGCCCCAGATGCAGTTTAACGTCAATGCCCAGGACACTGTTTATTTGAAACTAGCGCAAGTGAAATTAGTTTTGACCCGATAAGCAGAATCAAAATGTACTTTTCTTAAAGGATAATTTTGGTATTTTTAAACCTGGGCCCTATTTCATATATTATGGTGTCTAAATAACTATTTGGTACAAAAAGGTGTAGAATCCGTGCAGCTGTAAACCTGCAGTGGTTGCAACATAGTCCTTCAGGGCGATTGCGCCCATCAAAATTGAGACAGTAAGTGCTTCTTTTTGCCACCAACAAGCTCAGACATCATGGAAAGGATCCCTACAAGTGACTCCAGGTAACCAGGAGTTTATTGTGTACAACTGCTAGCAAGACTTTATTTCCTAATATTACTCCAGATGGACATTTTGGTCCTTAAACTCATCATTATTGGAATGTTTTTTTAATGCAATGCTTTTTAGTTAACTTACCCTATCTTGGAGTCAAAAATCACATTCTGGCCTCAGTTCCACAGGTCTTACCGTGCTAAAAGGGCTTGAAGCTGGGTGTTGGCTGTCTGATCTCTGGACTCATACTGGGGGCATGTTGTCTGGTGGTACTGGGGAAGCTATATATCAATGAATGATTAAATAAATGGATAACAATCTATTAATCAATCAATTAATGAATTAATCAGTGGTAAAGTTGGAGCTAGGTTCGATTTACTGAAGTCTGTGAATGTTCAACAGAGACATTTGATTTCTGGGTCAAAATGGAACAACCTTTGTTTCCCTACCTGGCTGGGAGTCCCCAGTACACTCACATCTGGTGAACACAAAGGAAAAGAGGATCACTACAAAAACTGAAATGCATCAACAAATGTAAAACTTTTACTGCTGTAATATTTCGGTGAGCCATTTACAGTAGTGTTGAGCCATCTGTGGACTGTCTCTTCTTTCACCTCTTTTCTTTGGATCACCCTTTCAAGGGTCCTTTTCAGGTTGAGTGCGAATTTGTCTCAAGCATTTACGGTTCTGGTAGTTTGGTTTACTAGAGAAGCTGCCCCCGTATTTCCAACTATACTATGTATTTTAAAAAGTACAGTACCAGCAGTTAGCACAAAGGCAGGGGTCAAAGTGTCTTATTTACTTTTAAATAGATATTTCACTATTAAAATCATAATTTAGAGTTCTTGTATTCACGCGTCTTTAATATTGATGCAAGTTTGGCTTATTCTATAAAATGGTGCTATCCATGTTTTTTTTACCTCCTTATCCAAACTTCCAAAATCCTTAATAAAAATAATTTAGGGTTAATTATGAGCAGTTTTAATCACCCGCTGCAGAGCCCCCGGTCCTGGGCCGTGCACATCCCATGCCAGTCAGGATGCTTTCTATTGCTCCTCTGTAAAAGCTAACGGGAATTTGGCCTTCTTAAGCTTCCTCAAGAAATACAGTCATTTCTGAGCTTTCTTCACCAGCCTGGAGATGTGAGATGATGTTTATTCCCAGGAACCTGAAACTGTTCACCTGCTCCACCTCAGCTCCACTGATGTAGACAGGAGTGTGTGTCTTTATTTCCTTCTTCCTAAAATCAGTGATCAGCTCCTTGGTTTTGCTGACGTTGGTTGGTTGTTCTCTGAGCACCACTCTGCAAGATTATGAATTTCCTCCCGATATGAAGTCTCATCTTTGTTTGAAATCCGGCCAATGATGGTGGTGTCATCCGCAAACTTTTCAACAGGGTTCTCTCCATGTTGGGGGATGCAGTCATGGGTGTACAGCGTGAACAGGAGGGGGCTGAGCACACAGCCCTAGGGAGCTCCGGTGTTGAGCACTTGTTGAGCTCTAGTCACTGCTTTGTTCTTTACACAGGATTTGCATGGCCTTTTTGCTTTTAACCCATGAGATTCTTTTGCATCTCTTTTTTTTTCTTTTCTTTTTCTTTTTTTTTTTTTTAAACCTGTCCTGCCCAGCAGCCTGGTATAGAGTATAATGACCTGGATACTATATTGTGCCAGACAGATTTTACTTTAACAAGAGAGTATTAAAATACTCCTTTGTCTGTTTTATTATTTATTTAATTATGTATTGATTTGTCACCGGGCCGGACAGGGGGGCAGACACAGGGATGGGGGGGGGCACAAACAGACAGCACAGAGAAAGGACAAGACCTGTAAGAGAAGGGGGAAAGGGGGATGGAAGGTGGGGACAACAGGGAAAAGCTGTGGGAAACACCAATTGCAGAAAGCAACGAAACCTGCAATAGAACAGAGAGGGGGCTTGGGGAGGAGAAAAACAACAACAAACAAAAACAAAAACAAACAATAAAAATAATAATAATAGTAAAAGACAACCAGCCAAACAGCAGCAATAAACAGCTGACATAGAATAACAACTAAGAGAAAAATGAAAACAAGAAACAAACCGCAATCAGATCAACCCGCGCAGAGACCCCCTACCCCCAGAAGCCAGGGCACCCTGCGATCCCCCAAAGCGCAAAGGACCCCAGACTGCATGTCCCGGGGGAAGCTCCGGCAGCCCCACTGCCACCCCCCACCTCACCGCTCCCCCACAATCAGGAGCACTCGGAGCACCACCAGGCCATCGGAGCTGGCACAACACCCCCCCCCCCCCCCCCTACAAGGGGGGAGCAGGTCCGGAGCAGCAAGGACCCTGCCCAAGGACAGAGCGGCCCAACAGCCCAGACCCGAAGGTCAGCCCACACCCAGGAGGCAATGCCACTCAGGCCAGGTCAGGCCAGAAGACCCCCACCCCCGCGCCTTTCCCTCCCTAGCAGCGAAGCATCCCACACACAAACCCTCACCGTCCCCAAAGAAAAGAGACAGCATTCACCCCGCGACAGCAGCAACAGCCCCTCAGCCCTAGGGAGTCAGCAGATGCACCCAGCCCTAGGACTCAACACAACCACAATCCAGAGGGCCGCGACGCGACTGCGAAGCAACCATCGACACACCCCAAAGCACAATCCCTCCACACACAAGCATCCAGTCCGGGCACTAAAATCCAGAGGAGACACCCCCAAACAGCTCAAAAAGGACCAGCCTGCACCCCCAACCCACCCCGTCAACCCCTTCTTCCCGGTCCCCACCCCTCCAACAACCAGTTGCCAGACCCCTCAGAGAACCGAAATGTAATTATCAGGATGCACAGCATGCACACAGGACAGAGCCGCACACCAGCCCAGTCCAGGCCCGCACCTGATGCCCCCTACCCGGCAAGCACGCAAGCCAATACCGACCTACAGATGAGCCAACCAACACTACCCCGCTACCAATCTAACTAGCGGCACACAACAGCCAAGTAATGCGCTGCACAGGAGAGATGCAAGCCGGCGCAAACCGCCCCATCCCCCGAGGCCACTAGATCCTGGAATGGAATAAAGTTACTACCTTGCATTACATGCTCTAGATGTCTTATCCCTTTGTCAAACCACAGTGGGGAATTTAGTGTTTTCTTATTTTGCAGGATGTCAGGATTATTCCAGATTGGGGTAAATCTGCATGGGATAGGTGAAGACCCAGATATTTTGAGAAGTTCCCATCAAGCTGCCAAGGAAGTGCTTATGTTAATGCTTTTAAAGCAGGTATGAAGTTTGATGCTGGAACTGATGAATGGCATATCGGAAATTTTAATTTCCTTACAGAATGTTTGTTCTATGTCCATCCATGAGTGGTCCAGGGGGCTCTGATTGATCCATTTTGAGATATATTGTAGTCTATTGGACAGGAAGTAATGATAAAAATTTGGCAGTTCTAAACCACCACAGTCTTTTGCTTTTTGCATAGTTTTTTGACTGATTCGTGGGGTTTTATTTTTCCACAAAAATTTTGAGATGTTTGAGTCCAGAGATTTAAACCAGACAGCAGAGGGTTTGGTGGGTAACATTGAAAACAGGTAATTGATTTTAGGTAGGACCATCATTTTTATGGTGGAGACTCTTCCCATGAGTGATATAGGTAATGATGTCCACCGTACGTAAGGTCATCCTCTACTGATTTAAGAAAAGGTGTGTAGTTTAGCCATGTCAGTTCTGACAGCCTGGAGGAAATATTGACACCCAGATATATAATATTCCCAGACTTTAGCGGTGTGGTAGATATACTCTGGAAATCACACTTTACAGGTAAAACTATGGATTTACTCCAGTTAATGGAGTAGTCTGAGATGGATGAGAATTTATCTATAAGTGTGATTGTCTCAGAAAGATAAGTTTGTGAGTTTAGGAGGAAAAGTACATACATCATCTGCATAAAGGCTTATCTTGTGGTGTATATTTTCTGTTTGAATTCCTTTAATATTATTATTTTGTCTGATAGCAGCTGCTAGCGGTTCTATAAAAATAGCAAATAGCGAGGGAGAGAGTGGGCAACCCTGCCTGGTACCCCTCTGGAGACTAAAGCATGGAGAAGTATGATCATTTGTTTTGACAGAAGCTCTTGGGGAACTGTATAAGATTTTAATCCAATCTATGAAAGAGTTTCCAAATCCAAATTTATATAAAGTAGCGAATAGAAATTTCCAATTTACTCTTACTTTATCTAAAGAAACAACTGTAGTTTCCAGGTTATGAATAGTGGCATAGTCTATTACGTTAAGTAGCCTGCGTGTATTGTTGGTGGAGTGCCTGCCCTTAATAAATCCTGTTTGGTCAGAGTGTATTATACCAGGAGTGACCTTCTCTAGCCTTCTTGCTAGGGTTTTGCAGATGATTTAAGATCTGCGTTAATAAGTGATATTGGGAGATAACTGGATGGGAGTGTGGGGTCTTCCCAGAATTCCTTATAGAGTTCAGCGGGAAAACCATCTGGCCCAGGGGCTTTATTATTTGGCATATGTAAGAGAGCTTCCTGGAGTTCAGCCATTGAAACAGGTGAATCCAGAGCCCTGATCTGTTCATCATCTAACCTTGGCAAATCTTTATTGTTCAGAAATGCATCGATGTTAGAGCTAGATGGGTCAATTTGTGATGTATATAAGTTTTTATAATAATCTCTGAATGCATTGTTGATTTCTTCTGGGTTATAAGTCAGATTCCCAGCTGAGTCCTTTAAGGAAGAAATAGTTATTTTTTCTTTATTCAATTTCAATTGGCTGGCTAAGAATCTGCCGGATTTATTGCCATGTTCAAAGTTCTCCAAGCGTAGTCTTTGCAACTGAAATTGGGTCTTTTTATTAATAATTTCATTTAATTCAAGTTTTGAATTTCTCAGATCATTCAGCATGCGTTCCTGTGGGGAGTCAGCAAGGGTAGTTTCTAATGTCTTTATTTTTTGTTCTAGCTCTAATTCACAAGATCTCTCTTTCTTTTTTTGTATGATGAATAGGAGATTATTTTACCTCTCATGACTGCTTTGCTGCCTCCCAAAGAAGACATGGCGAGGTTCCTGGCAGGTCATTAGTTTCCATAAATATAGCCCACTCCTTTTTGAAGTAACTTATAAAATCTAGGTCTTTAAGCAATGATGCATTAAATCTCCAACTTCTAGTTGGCCGTGTGACCCTTTTTTTAGTAAGAGTGATAGAAACCGGTGCATGATCACTGATAGTGATAGGGTGAATCTGAGTATTGGAAATGTCATAATTGAGCTGCTAACCAAAAAATAGTCAAGGCGAGAATATGAGTGGTGGACTGGTGAAAAGAAGGTATATAAGAGTGGGGTGGTGAGAACGCCAAACATCGCAAAGACCAAAATCGCTCATGTATTGTTTAAGGATGTCTGTTGATTTCCAAATACGGTGACCACCTGCCGTACTGAGCCTGTCAACTGCTGGATTACATACCATGTTGAAGTCCCCTCCTAATATAAGAGCTGTGTCTGAGTGAGCAGAGAGTGAGTTGAAGAAAGCATGAAAAAAGGAGGCGTCGTCAACATTTGGCCATAGATGTTAGCAATGCATAAAGGAGTATTTTGAATCGAAATGTTAACAATAATGAATCGACCCTCTGGATCTATAGTAGTGGTATTATGATTGAAGTGTGTTTTTCTATTTACCATAATGGTGACACCCCTTTGTTTTGAGTTATAACAGGCTGAGTACGAGTGAGGAAACTGTGGTGAGGTTAGTTTATCTGCTGTCTTGGGTAAATGAGTCTCCTGTAGTAGGACAATATCTGCTTGCAGATTATTAGATGGTTAAAATTTTTTATCTCTTTTCCCTTGAACCAACTCCGCGTACATTCCAAGAGGTGTGGTCATCATTCAACTAAGGGATGTGGTGTAGGCTAGTGTGTGCAGTGTGCGTGTTGTATCATTGTGTGTTGTATGCACCTGTATGTGTGTGTCTATGTGTTCATGTTGTATGCGCCTGCGTGTGTATGCTAGCGGTGTGCCCGACTGTTTGTGAATTAAACAGTATGAAAATTGCGCAGCTGATCGACGTGTAAACGGCGGAGGAAGAGCAACATTAACAAAAGAAAGAGACAGTGAAACAAAAACAGAGGAAAATACACAAAACATTATCGGACAGTCTAGTCAGATAACCACAGTATAGGCTGTTGAGACGTGCACTGTATTTTATAACTATTAACCTGCCATATGTCACGGAGTAATTAACTGAGAGGGGAAAAAATTATCACATAGTGATACAGTTCACCTGTTGCTGGATTTGGTTCTTAGTAGAGCCAAGGAGTGGTGTCTCTGTCGCGGTACAGCTGGCCATCAACGTAAAGTTTATCCACAGCGATGACAGCCCGTGATCCTTCTCCAATAAGCCTCTTTCTTTTGGGAACAGGACTCGGCGTCCAGGATCTCCCGGGGAAAATGGTCATTAATGCTGAAGTTAGTCCCTCTCAGCTCCCTGCCGCGGCCTTTAACCAGTTCCTTCTGCTTGAAGTGTTCAAACTTCGCGACGATGGGCCTGGGCCTCTGGTTCTCCTGTCGCCGTCCTCCCAGGCGGTGCACCGGTGGAAGCTGATGTTCTTCACGGTCTCGGCCGGGAGCTTCAGTTGATTTTGGATGAAGCTTTTAACGGTCTCCTCTGGGGCTTCATCCGCCTGCTCCGGGATACCCGAAATGACCAGATTATCCCGCATACTACGAGCCTGGAGATCGATGATTGCTTCTCTAATGTTTTTATTGTCTGCCGAGAGCCGCGTCATTCCCTCCGTGAGGGATTTAACCGAACCTTTGAGGACCTTGTTTTCCGCCACGAGCTCAACCACCTGTTTCTGACTGAGACTCCAGGGATTCCCGCAGAGCCTGAAACTCTTTGTGAAGTACTTCCACCAGAGATAATCGGGCATCAAAGCTAGACAATTTCTTGTCTATTGAATCCAGGATCTCTGTGAAATCTGCACCTTGTGAGGAGACTGCTCCAGGTGATGCTCCAGGTGAGTCTTCAGTGCGGTTTCTTTTTGATTTCCCCATGACCACTCGATGAAAACACTGGTCAATGTAAACTTCGAGGTCCTCCAAACACTCGTCCTCGAGGTCCTCCAGTGCGATTTGACTGCTCTTGTTTGTTAATTCGCTTAAAATTGGCGGATTGTTTGTTTAATGAAATGTTTGTTTAGCTGCGCACTGCCATGTTTGAATTGCACCAAGTCTCACGAGATTACACAAACGCTCACCGTGTCATCTCCTCTCACTCCATCTAAAACTCTTTTGCATCTCTCACCAATACACAGCGATATGTCACCCCTAGGGCAGTGGTTCCCAAACTTTTTTGCCCGGCGTACCCCCAAAGACCTATCAGATGGGCCCAAGTACCCCTTTATCACCCCTTGATAGATGGGATGGCTTAATGGCATTTGTGCCCAAGTTTGCATTTTTCAGAATCAGAATCAGTTTTATTGCCAGGTACATTTTTACATACGATTTGCCTAAGGAAAAGTAAGGAGCTCATAAATGTACAAGTATACAAAAATTACAAATAATACTATAATACAATGCTGACAAATATGTGCAAAAGTTCACAACATGAGCATAAAGCACAGTTGAGAGTTGGAGTAAAGTGTGGGGTCAGGAGTGTGTATGAGCGTGTGTGTGTTTGTGGAGGGGGGGCATGAGAGTCAGTGACAGTGGGGACCCGGGCCTTGTTGAGGAAGCCCACTGCTATCGGAAAGAAACTGTTGTGGTGAGAGGGTTTGGTCCTGATGGACGGCAGCCTCCTGCCAGAGGAGAGTGTGAAATAGTTTGTGTCCGGGGTGGGAGGGGTCAGCTGCAATCTTTCCTGCTCAGAGTCCTCGAGGCGTACAGGTCCTGAAGAGATGGAAGGTGACAACCAATCACCTTCTCTGCAGAGCGAATGATACGCTGCAGCCTGCCCTTGTCCCTGGCAGTGGCAGCAGCGTACTAGATGGTGATGGAGGAGGTGAGGATGGACTCAATGATGGCGGTGTAGAAGTGCACCATCATTGTCTTTGGCAGGAAGTAAATCATCTGCTGGGCCTTCTTGCTTAAAATCCAGGACCATCTCCACTGTCTTCTGAGCGTTGAGCTCCTAACTGTTCTAGCTGCACCAGGTCACCAGATGGTCGATGTCCCACATGTAGGCGCACCCACGTGAGATGAGCCCAATGAGGGTGGTGTCATCCGCAAACTTCAGGAGCTTGACAGACTGGTGACTGGAGGTGCAGCTGTTGGTGTACAGGGAGAAGAGAAGTGGGGAAGAACACAGCCTTGAGGGGAACCGGTCCTGATGGTCCTGGAGTCAGAGACATGTTTTCCCAGCATCACGTGCTGCTTACTGTCCGTCAGGAAGTCTTTGATCCACCTGCAGGTGGAGTCAGGCACGCTCAGCTGGGAGAGCTTGTCCTGCAGCAGGGCCAGGATGATGGTGTTGAAAGCAGAGCTGAAATCCACAAACAGGATCCTGGTGAGTCCAGGTGCTGGGGAATGACGTGAAGGACCAAGTTTACTGCTAATCGTCTACAGACCTGTTGGCTCTGTAGGCAAATTGCTGGGGGTCCAGGAGTGGGTCTGTGATGGATTTTAGGTGGGACAACACAAGGCGCTCAAAAGGACTTCACTTTCCTACTTGGAGTGGCAAAAACTGATTGTTTCAACCATTGTTTCATTTACTGTAGTTGACTTTTTTCTAACTAGGATTTCTGCCTTTCTAAATAAAATTACATTTGACTCAGGTTGGTGGAAAGCTGAGGCATGTAATGTGCAGACTACAATAGTTGGTAGGTTATTTTTACAATAACTACACACATTTGTAATCTTACATGTGCGTTGATTTTTTTCCTACACACAAATATGTGGATATATATTATCAGATCATAACTTTTCCCACATACCCCCTGGCACCTTCAGAAGTACCCCCTGGGGTACAAGTAGCCCTGGTTGAGAATCACTGCCCTAGGGCAACTACACAAAGGACAAAAATTCTGTAATTCATTCCATTTGCAAAATATTAGAAGGCAATCTGGGCAAGATTAATATTTACACGAGGGGTAACTGTAGTTAACCATTGCTGAAATCTGGTCACTGAGCAGTGGTTTAAATGTGAGAAGACAAGTGACATACTGAGGCAGCTTTTGCAGAAAAAATTATAGAATGCCATTTTCTTCTTGTTGCTAGTGATGAGTCGGAGCAACCCTTTTCAGATAATATTAGGATCTCCTGTAATGAAGCTTAAAGCAGAATGATAAACTGCATTACATTGTTTGAAGTGAGCAGCATGAGAATAAAGCCAAGCACAAAACGGGGGCTTACGGTAGTGGAAGGCGATATTTCAGGGTATTTGTGCGATGTTGATATTCTTGACGACAAATACTGAAAAATCACAGTAGCTGTTAAGCTCTCCTCGCATGATTTTTGGCCCTCATTGTTGTGAACCACATGCTTCTTCTTGAGGTGGTGAACAAGTTTGTTGTATTGCTCCCTTTTGTTGTTGGACTTCTTAGTTATTACCGTGGTTTGTTCTACATCTGATCTTTTGGAACCAAATCAATTTCCACACTCCTGACGTCGTTCCCCTCTTTGGTAGTAATTCCTCCACCGTGGAGTGTTCCTTTCACGTTCAGCCATGCTTTTAGTTATAGTGTTTTAGTTGCTATTTATAATATAAAAGATAGATATAGATATATTGTGCCACACCTCCAGTTGACTGTCCAATCATTTCTTGTCCTCTGGACAGACACAAGTCTGGCACAAAACTAAACTGAAACTAATATGTAACCTATGCAAACGTCCTCACCTTCACCCGCAGTTGGGCCGTCATCTGTATGTGTTGGGGCAGATTTCAGGGTAAGGAACACAGGTCCTGGCTCACAGGGGTTGACGAGCACAACCTGTCCACCTCCACTTACATTACACATCACCTACACAGATGAGGGGAAGACTTTAACAACTGCTCGATTATCGATTAGTCCATAAGTTCTAATATAAAATATAATACACCTTCTTTTAAAGGTAGAGCTCATTTTAAGTACTCAGAATCATACACCCCAGCCCGTCCACTATGCTCTGCTACTGCCAATTAGCCACTGCCAATAACACGACTGCTGGAACCATCTCCCCACTGACATCAGGACAGCAGACACTCTACACATCTTCTGTCACAGACTGAACATCCAAGCTTATGACATAGATCATATTTATGCTGCTTAGCATGATAAAAAACCTCTGTAAGCCTTCGCCTCAATTTACAAACTATAGTCTACAGACTTATTTTTATACTATACTTTGGGCATACATATATACCAGGGCTGGGCCTACATCCCTTTCAGGATATTCAGTCTGCTTAGGAAACCAATCTGAGGGGCATAAATTATACCTCCCTATAGAAATAAATGGAAACAGAATGCCACTAAACTTCATGAGATCTATTGTTTTTCATGTTGAAAGGAAGAGCTGTTTTCCTTTGTGCTGATGGTAGCACTTACATGCTGTGGGATGTGGGATGTAAATTCAGTCAGTCCCTCTTGAAACTGCTGATGGTCCACGGCCTGTGGTACACAGATACTGGATACAGGGGCATGTAAATCCCCCTAAAAACACAGAAGACATACTCACACACAAAAACAAATATGCAATGTATACATTCTGTATTAATATAGTTAAATGATTGTGAATACTCACTGGCATCATGCTGCAGAGGATGGGTTCATTAGTAAACCAATGAGCAGAACCTGAGCTGTGAAGGCTGCTGTCTGGTGGACCAGGCACAGGGCTGAGGAAACCAAGACTCAAGTCACTTTACAAACTTTTCCAAACACATCATATCCCACAAGCACAGGACTGTACATACTCAGGCATAGCTCAGACCACCAATTATTCATGACACTGTTGCTGCCTCTGCAATATACAGTGGGGAGAACAAGTATTTGATACACTGCTGATTTTGCAGGTTTTCTTACTTACAAAGCATGTAGAGGTCTGTAATTTTTATCATAGGTACACTACAACTGTGAGAGACGGAATCTAAAACAAAAACCCAGAAAACCACATTGTATTTTTTTTAAATAATTAATTTGCATTTTATTGCATGATATAATCATTAGTGTATCAAATACTTGTTCCCCCCCTCTAAGAGATTCTGTTCATAATTTTGACTAAGTTTGTAGAAGTCCCCAAATCGAAGGGACTGTGTGTAGGACTTTTATGTGATAATAGCAATTTTCTAATTATCCTGATGACATGTTTGGTTTGTAGACAAATAAAATAATCCCAGTGAAAAGGGTTGCATTATATGATGCTTTCAACCAATTCATGTCAGTGTCCCTGTGTCATTCTTAATACCACCACCAGATGACGCAAAAGTATATAGTTGTAGTCCAAGAGTTTTTTTCACTTGCTGGAGACACCATATTTACTGGTAACTAACATTATGTGTCACTCCAACATGGTACAGTGGAACACAACCTATACACTATAAAATGAATGAGGACTTACTCAGTGAGGAGGTGATACTGACTGGACTGGGGCTCCAGAAGGTAGTCTGGATAATTCAGTTGACAGTGAGTGGACTGACACGGATAGGGGAACCTGCAACTCAAAATTTACATCAACTGTTTATGTGAAAACATGTGAAAGATAAATACAGTACACGTATTCCTTGCACATTTTTTTCAAACATATGGTAAGGTCAGGAGATTTGTACACCAGTACAGCCCAAATGGAATCACAAGAAATGGCACGAGTCATTTTGTGAACGGCTGACAGAGAAACAAGAAAAGAGAAGATTTTCTAAGTGTCCAAATAATGAAAGAAAAAACATCTCTAAATTGTTGAGTGTGTGAATGAACATTATACCTTAAGCTAAGAGGGTCCACCATCCCTGGCTGGATAATATACTGGTGATGATGGGGAGCTACTCCAGGCAGACTGACATCTGAAGGGGGGCCTGTCCATAGAGGAGTCCCTGCAGGGCCTGGGTTGACATTATTGTCCTCTTTTGAAGAACAGTCATCAGCATCAATATACTCCTGTCTGCTCTGTGCTGTGTTCAGCTCTGTCAAATAGGTATTCATCCCGCCAGCATAAAAGGCACCTGTCAGCCATTCATTAGTGAAATATACAGATGTTAGTCAGGAATTCTGACAGAAACTGGTCTATGAAGTTATTAAAACTTAGGGTTAGTAAATGTAACTAAGTAAATTTACTCAACTACACATTTGAGGAAATACTGAACATTTTACATTTGACAGCTTTAGTTCCTAGTTATTTTACAAATTAAATGTTTGCATAAAAACATAGAAAGAGCTTATAAATGATCTTTCGTTATACATTAAACTACCTATATATTTTATACATAGACACAAGTAAAGCTGAAATTAATAATATTTTTATAATAGTTTAAGTAATATTTCATGCAAAAACATGTCATGGTTCTGGTCCTTAAATTTTGATTGATTTGAAATCATTTTTAATAATTTGTATTTTCAACTATTGGTTGATCAAAACAAGCAATGTGAAGATATCACCCGGGACTCTTGAGTAATTCTAACAGCATTTCTACTATTTTCAGAATTTTCACAAGTACTAGTTCTAAATACTAACGTTACCTCCATCACTGGATCGGTATTGACACCTTACTTGATCTGAATAAATTACTGTCATTGTTGGTGTTGCGTTTTTTTACTGGTGAAACTAAGTTTCACTAGTTACACTATTTGATACTGTAACTTCAGGTCCTCCACATCGCTCACTATGACACTAGGATTTAGGCTGTTCAGCTGCGCTCACCTGTTAACTACTCATAGTTAAAGCCACACTTGGATTAATTTTCTTCTCCAAATATTATGACTTGCTTTTTCAATGGCGCTCCGAACGGCCGCTACGTTAGCTAGCTAAATGCTTAGCATTTCGCTATTATTAGCCTAACACTACCTAGCTAATATTGTTAAATGTTACACTACCAAATGTTACGTTAAATTTAAATTGCGTTAGCTACTGAATTAGCCAAAAGTAACAACTGGCTTGTTGGTGAGTAACTGAATCAATTCAAAGTTCTTAACTTTGTCTTAATTACTGCCTTTAGAGGTGGATAAACTGAACGCTCTGTTGCTAGGAGCTGCAGACGGACTGGTGCCTTCAGGTACTATCAGAAGTGTCGAAATTACGAAACCTTCCTACTGAAGCGTGAAAAGAGAGAGCAGTTGTCACAAGTGTAATCCTAGACTGTAGTGTGGAACTAGATTTGCGGGTTCTTGTCGGGCTCTGTTACCAGCCAGCGCGTCGTTAGCCCTGGGCATCCGGGGCTATAGCCCCAGATGTTTTTTGAAAAGCCCCAGATCTCAGAAGGATTTTTAAAAAACAAACAACAAAAGGCTGAAAATTGAACTTTACAGGTTTAACTAACGTTACATGCGCGGGAGTGAGCGAGAGATTATTGTTATTATTTATTCTGCTGCACATTAGCGGAGAATAAGATGATCCAGCTGTAGCTCTGTGTCTGTCCTCTCTGCTCCACCTGAAGCAGAGGCGCTGAAATTAACTTGTGGATTTGTGGTGAGGTTAATCACCTGATCTATGTTTGGTCCCCCTCTTTCCTAATGTAAAGTTTTATTTGGCATTGCCTTCCTGGCTCAGGCGATTTCGGAGCTGGCTCATATAGGAGGCGGTTTACTAAGAGACCAGTCACAAAATGTTGCCGATAGAAATGTTGAGGGAGGAAAATAAAGTTGCTCGATGCCGGTGCAGCTTCTTCTTTTGTGCTGCTGTTACTTCTAGCTGAAGCCACAAAAATTCTTTGCATTGTGAACATTATTTAGATGTTTCAGGAATAATCAGATTGTTTTGGCAGCCTGGTTTGGTTGGCTACATGTCCATAATAAAAAGCACAGGCAACAAAAATTGGCTGGGCAGCAAAAGTGATACTTTAAAGTGATCTTGAAAAACGAAAACAGCTAAATTACAGATAATCAGCTTTTGCAGGAATATTTTATAATATATATATAATAAGTTGCCTAGTCTAATGCAATAGACAGTTGGCTGTGGACTGTGATCCTGCACAACAAAACATGCAAGAATTAAATCCACACACTACCATGGATCACTTCCACACGGTGCGGCACGCAGATGGACCACAGATTAATTGCAAAGTTTATGATGATTTATCCTGTTTGACCTCTCAAAATATCCTTTATTCTGGAAACGTCAGAGAACCCAGTTAGATTCTGAATGTGCAGAACTTTGAACGTGAGCAGAAAACTTGCTGAAACACAGGAGCTATTAAAGTCCAGGAGTTTCTAACTGAATTAAAATGATTGAATTTTTTATTGATGACGTAAAAAGGTGCCACATGCACATTTAAATAGTTTACCTCAATCAGTCACGTCTGCGTGTGTGTTGATTCAGCAGTGATGATATTAAAAGTTGATCTACAGGAGAAACATATCTGAAAGCAACCCTGAGAGCTGCTCTGCATTTTAGATTTTAGGTATAGATTTTAGATTTTAAATTTTTAAATTAAAAAAAAAGTTTTATTATACCTTTATTAAACCAGAAAATCTCTTTTTCCAAGAGTGTCCTGGCCAAGGCAGGCAGTAGTACAATTGCACATTTAAGATGGAAATAAATAATCAGTTACAAGGTCATAAAATCTCAAAATGTTCTTAAATAGTCACCACAATTCAGCAACAAGGACGATCAACGAGTAGAATTGCCAGCCTTCAAGTCATTTAAAAGCAACCAGTGAAAAGGGCTCACCAAGATTCAGACACCTGCCTGACACCTGAATTTTGTGTGTCCCTACAAAAATAATTCAGGTCAATCAGGGCCGCCCATAAGTGGGGAAAAAGGGGAAAGCTTTCTGGGGCTCAGCTGCTAGGGGGGCCCATACAGTCCAGCAGCACTAATGATCAACAAACAAACCAAATTTTATTTTGAATCAAAATACTCACCATTACTTATTAAAATAACAAAAAATTACAATTTATTTAATGTTTCTTTAGTAAAATATAGCCTGTTTCATAATGAAAACCCCCTCTCCTGAAAATGGTATGAGTAATGTTTGTTGTACCCAACATCCGAACATCAAAAGTGTGCCACATGCGCAGCCCATGTCTGTGTTTATGTAGGAGATAGAGAGAGCACAGCATGCGTTGACATGAGTGAAGCAGATTTAGGGAGGGCCCATTAACTGGACCTTTTCAGGGGCCCAGTCATTTTTGTGGGCAGGCCTGGAGTCAATTATTATGTGAAGATATGAAGTTTTATGGGCTGGGCTAAGTCTTTAAATGGGGACGCTACAGTACTTTTATCCTTTTCTGTTTTACTGTGGCCTTGTTGTTTTGCATTGTTGGCTATCATTGTATTTCATATAGTAGCATTTCTAATGTTCTTTGAATAACTAACTATTCACCTTAATGAAAGTATGTCTTTTAACAAATGGACTGAATAAAAGTGTTTCAATCAGAGCTGTTTCAGACAAAACGTTTCTCACAAAACCTAAGGGCAGCACTGCTTTAAAAGAGAGTGTGTTCAGATTTACGAGCAGCATTAAAGGCAGCATGAGCCAACCCAGCGTGCTGACGTTGATCTTCAAGAACAGTGTAGTTTGGTTTACGGTGCGGAGGTAACGCGGACTGACGACTCCGCAGTGAAACAGTCTGAACATGAGTGCGAGTTTCGGGAAATCCGTGTTGATAACGGGGTCCAGCAGAGGAATAGGATTACAGCTGGTGAAAGAGCTGGCTAAAAGCAGCAACAGACCCGCTACAATCATAGCGACAGCCCGCAATCCGACTGGATCTGTGGTAAATAAACCTCTAACTTAACGTTACCTAACTTTGGTTTTCACATCAGTGCACACGAGTCCTGACATTAGTTGTTTTGTCTGTGCACACTTCGCCAGACTCGAGATCGAAACACCGAGCTGCAAAGTGGCTGCCGCTGTTGTCCTGTTGCAAATGAGTGCACTTGTTTTTCTAAATTGTATCACTGTTCTTTACGGATCCCTGAGGACCAGGAACAAAGTTTAACCTGTTCGTCCGGGTTGTCCAAACTGACTGACTAGATTGGTGTTAAAAGGGACTCCAATGGCGAAAAAGACTGATTAGTTGATTTGGTAGATTGCAGCATGTGCGCGTGTGCGAAAGGCATGCACAGCAGCTAGAATTTAGTTTTTTAGTAATTGCTTGTTTTTATCGCAGAATAATGCACGATGATGGTGTCAGGACTTAATGAGTGTAAAAGGTTATCTAAACACACCAAGGCGGTCATCAAAGCCGGGGATCACGTTTCCTGCTCTTGTTCTATATTCTCTATTTGTCTTAGGGACTCTTTCATTGGAATATGATTGTAAGCTATAACTGCGATTGGGGCCCTTACAGGTTTAAAAACACAGGAGGGAGGTAATCTGAGGAAAAACTCCAAGATTAATATGGTAAAATATAATAAAAGTAAATAAAACTCGAGTATTCTCGGACATTATAGTCATACATTTATGAGATTAACACTCTAGTAGTATTGTTTGGCAAGCCTCACTTTGCAAGGCTGCAACACACACCCAAGCACCTAACCGCACACGCTGCCCTTGCCTGTATTATGCCATGCAGTGGGTAATCTATTAATCATGCCTGTAATCAAATTGCATATAAAATATTACGTGGGTTTATTTAAGAAATTTTTTCACAATCAAAATCCATTGAAACCCAAGAAACTGCTTTGGAAGAGAGAGCTTGATGACGTTTCTGAAAGTGCACAACCAGGGCTTTTTTGCTCACCAGTCACTGTGACTAATGGTTACAAAGTTACTAGACGCATAGCATTTTCACTAGCCAAATGTTTGTGTAAAGCTCTGTTTTTCTGAAAACATGTAGGCTAGTCCATAAAGATAAAGATAAAAAAGTAGCTTCTTATTGCATATAATAAAACTGGTGCGTGTTGTAGAAAATGGAAGCCCTAAGCGGCCTTGATTCAATTGATTTCTTCGTTTCCTGTGATAATTATTTCGAGATAATGAAAGTTGTTTCCCCGTGATGATGGGACAATTTTCTTGTGATCTCAATAGTAGTGGGAATGTTTTAATGGTATTTTCAGTGTTTTCCAGTTCACTGGTTAGCTCAGTTGGTAGAAAAGACTCATGGTCTAAGGGTTGTGTGTGTCAACCCCTCTGAAGGCTTATTTCTTTCTATTTTATCTTTTCTCTTCAACAAATTTCTTTGAAGACACTGTTCACCAGCTCACAATAAAGCACGTGCTGGACTTTGTGCGTCCGGGCGATTGGTCCACGTCCATCAACCTATGGACTTTCAAATACCCATCATTCCAGGCAGAGGAATTTCCTGCGCTCTCATTCAGGGGAATCCATTTAAAGTTACACAGTTTCTGACGGGTATTTCGGAACCTTTGAAATAGCCATTGGGAAATGTGTGATTGGATTCCCCTGAATCCTTTCATAACAACTTTGTTGAAGAGGATAACAAAAACACACTAAAGAAGAAAGCAAACATGCAATCCTTGTATTACAAGTTTTTTGCTCTACCAACTGAGCTAACCAGTGACACTAAAATATTTTTGAAATTCTCCTAAACAACGCACCTGCCGACCCCTGTATTCAGCTATGGTTTGTTATCTCAAGATCATGAGTAATTATCTTGTTATCACGGAAAACGGAGTAAAAAAAATATTTGAATATGGCTGCTTACGGCTTCGTATTAGAAGGATAATTGAAGATATAAACTAAACAGAAAAAACCTGGCATCAGAAACACTGTTTAAATATTATTTACAACAGCAGTAAAAACCGCAATACAGAGTAGAAAAAATTCTATGCAATATAATCAATGAGCAAAGATGAACAAATTATGTTTTCTAATAAAATTCATAAACATTTAACTTCTGTAATATTTTAGTGACACTTCATTTAGTCCTTCTGACTTTTTCTTCTGTGCTCAGCTCTGCCGTTTCTCTTTCTCTCGTTCTCCTCTGCATGTTTTCTCCACTCTGCTCAGCCACGCACACTCACGCACTGACTAAAGGTCGTGGAACGTGTGTTGCAACCAACCATGCAACCAACCATGCAACCAACCATGCAACCAACCATGCAACCAACCATGCAACCAACCATGCAACCAACCGTGGCGAGATGACAGACAGAGATCAAACCATCAGGTTAAAAGCAGGCGGGTGGGAGGGCTGACGGTCTACAGGTTTTAGGGAATGTGGCAGCCCTGGGACAGAGAAACTTTTATATTCTCATTTGACAAAAGTCTGGATGTCATATTTGGAGTGCGTAGCCAGCGGCACTACAGAAGAGAGTGAGACACACCTCACATGTGGATTCTCCTGCTTGACGTCCACTAGTTTATTGTCATTTAATAAAAAATAATCACATATTTAATCACAATCACAATATTGAAATAAAAATATGGTGTTTTTTGAAAATGAAGCCATGTAAACCTGTTCTGGTACAACTCCTAAATACAAGTTTGAACCTGAAAATGAGCAGAATACCACCTCTTTAAGAATCAATTATAAGAAGCACAAATATAATCTAAGAACATTTTTATAAGGAACACGCCTAGACTACTTCAAAGCTCCTGGTGGCTGCATGTGCCATCCCACCTCTGCAGTTCATCCAGAATGCAGGTCTTCAACCTACCCAAGTTCCCCTACGCTACACTGCTCCTCTGCACCCTGCACTGGTTACCGGTGGCTGCTCGAACCCGATTCAGGACACTGATACTTGCCTACTGGGCTGCAAATGGCATGGGCCGATCATACATCCAGGACATGGTCATCAGGACAGCTGAAACTTGCACATTTGACATTGGCTTACTAAGTAAACATTACAGTGGAACTCAATTGTGCATTCAAAGGTGATCATTACTATACATTTATGAATAAACTTCCTCAATGATTTCTACTCACTCAATTTCCTTGATAATTTAGGATCTGCAAGAGCTCTCCAAAACCTATCCAGGGGTTCATATTGTGACATTAGGTGAGTCTGCTCATAAGATATTACATGGATACAGTATACAACTTGCATACAAGTGTTATTTTACTATCTGTATTTAATGACTGCAGCTTTGTATATTCTATTGCAACATAAGTAGTTTTAATTTATAATCACTGATTAAATAGTGAGTTCCTCTGCTGCTTGCACTCATCTCAGTTAATTGGCTCCTTGTTGCCTGAATGGACCTAGTACAGTTCTGCCAAAATGATCTATCTAATTAATTTTTTAGACTGTCTGGGCTAAAAGAAAAGAAAGAAACATCTCTGCTCCACTCATACACGTGACTGCACGGCTATCATGTAACATCTGTTGTCAGGTAGTGTCAGTCATTGATAGACCATTAACTAAAAAATTTTATGTGGTTGAAACTATGAAGATGTCCTGTTTATATTAAAGTTTCCTGTCATTTCACCAGACGTGGACAGCCAGCAGAGTATCCGCTCAGCCGTGGAGGAGTCCAGTCCATTGTAAGGAATAACGGACTGAACTGTCTGATCAATAACGCTGCCATCGGACTCCTTACAGACATAAACACTGTTACCCCAGAGGCCATGA